CTTGGCAGGTGGCCGACCGGTACAGCTCCATCTCCGCCCCGGACCTGCTGAGGATGGACGCCCGGGCTGCCTCTCCCCTGCACCAGCTGCCGCTGCGGAAGAGCCCCACCTGGGATCTCGCAGAGCCCAGTGGCCCCCCCAGCTTGTCCCCCTACAGCTCCTCGCCCAGCCAGCTTCTGGCCCCCAAGCCCACCCTGGGGCGCCCCTCCTCCCCACGGCCCTCCTTCTTCCTGCAGTCGGATATGGACTGGAGCCCCCCAGGACCCTCCAGGCCCAAAGTCATGGCCATCCCTTACGAGGGCCTGTCTGGCCCCGTGGCCCACGGTGGGTCCCCTCGCTCCCTCCGGCCTGCCGGCCTTCCTGACCGCCAGTTTGACTACCGGCCTTTTGCTGCCACCAGCGGGTGGGGGGGCCGGGCCGGCTCTCCGCGGCTGCCTGGAGAAAGCGCCCTGCCGCAGGCCTTCTTCCCAGAGCGAGGACCCTCTCCGCGCCCCCCTCTCCCGCCTCCCTACGAGAACCACAGCCTGTATCCTTCGGCGCCAGGCTCCTTCTGGGCACAGGGTGAGTGCGGGCCCGACCCGTTTGGTCCTTCCTGGGTGTTTGGCTCCCCTGCAGCTGCAGAGCCTAATTCTGGGCTGCGTTCAGGGCGCAGAGAGCAGCTGGAAGCGGGGCCTGGAATGTGCCCTCTCTCCGAAGAAGCAAATATCCGGTTCCCAGCTCCGAGGAGGCTGCGTGTTTGGGCAGGACTGGACGGATGGATGCTGGGAACCAGCTTGGCTCAGCCAGGCTCCTGGTGGGGGAGGGGGGAGCCAGGGTTCCTTTTGTGTCCCCCTCTTTGTGTGGCCGAAGGAGGAACGGAATAGCCGGAATAGCCGGGGAAACTGGAGGAGGAGGAGGAGAGGTCCAAATGAGGTGAAAACCTGCAGAATTTCCCTTGTGGAGTTCAGAACCTTCCTGGGTTTTAGTAGCAAATACGCCTCTCTCTCTTAGCATCGTTTTAACTGCCCCCACACCACACCCACATTCCTGTCTTTAATGTGGGCGTTTCAAAAGATAAAAGCCTTTAAATAGCCGCAGCAGAATTTAAGTCGAGAGCTTGTGCAAAATGGCCCTTCCCACCTGGGGATCTCTAGCTGGACTGGGTGCACCCCCCCCTTCTAAGCAGCGGGGGCTTCTTGGTGCCGGGAGTTGCAGTCCTGCAACGCCTGGAAGGTGCCGGAGAAAAGGGGGCGAGCAGAGGTGGCAGAGTGGAGGAGGCCACCTCTTCCTCCAGGAAGCTGTTCAGGCAACGTCTGGCCAGGAGTCGCCCCGGGGCTGGAGTGGCTTTTCCCACGGCGGTTCCCCTCACCCGGGACGGAGGCGCCTGTGGGAGCCCTTCTGATGTGGTTTCTCTTCCGCAGACGACCTGGTGATGCGCAGGAGGGCGCCCAAAAGCTGGAACGAATCGGATCTGGACGTGGCATATGAGAAGAAGGCGCCTCACCCTGTCGGCTACGAGCGTGAGTCTGCCGAAGGGGGGGGGGGGCAATTCCCTGAACACTCCCTGGCACTCAAGGGGGGCACCTGCCAGAGGGCGGCTGCCCCAGCGGAGGCCTCCCCAGTGAGGTCCATCGGGTGCCACTCTGCCCACTGGCAGATCCCAGCCCAAGGGGGTTGGCGCCTTGTGTGCCGGGGGGGTCCCTGGCACCTTCTGCTGAGCGAGGGACCCTCCTTCTGAGGGCCAGGGCTGGGCACAGGAGAGACCCCCGGCAGAGGGAGGGGCCAGGCGGGTGGGGGGCTCGGTCCCACTGATGACGGTCTCTCCCCCTCCCAGGTCTGGACACGCACGCAAACCTTTGGCAGAACACAGCTGGGCTGCCTCTGGCTCCCTGGAAGGAGTCCAGCCTGGATGGGGGCTGGCCAGGCAAGGTCAGTGTTCCTGCCCGGAGGCCCTTGGGCTGCCAGAGGCGCTGCGGCTTCAGAGACCATGGAGGCTGGCACGGAGGAGGAGGAGGAGGGGTGACGGGTGGCCGCTGACCGTCTCTCTTGGCTTCCCCCCCCCCTTCAGGAGGAGCCTTATGGCATGAACAGCGCCACCCTGCCCAGGAATTACAAGGTCTCGGCCCTGGCCGGAGAGAGGCGCCCGGACAGCTCCTTCCGCCGCTCCCTGGCTGCCAACCAGGCTGGCACCCTGCCCCGCAACTGGCAGCCCATCTCCCGCATTCCCATCCCGCCCCCCGCCCCGCAGGGCGGCAGCCTCCCCCGGCGCCACAAGCCGCTGCCCCTCTCCATGATCTTCCGGCTTCAGAACGCCTTCTGGGAGTCGGGCGTGGCAGGCGGCAAACTCGGGCTGCCCCCGGGGCCGGTGGGGTCGCCGTTGGCCCTGCGCTCCTTGCAGAAGCTGCTCCTGCAGCAGCCCCCCCTCCGGACAGTGCAGCCCGGCAGCGAAGGTGAGCGATGCTGGGGGGAGGGGCAGAGGGAGGGCCCCCCACCCCCGGGTGAATGCAGGCCAGCCGGTAGCCCCGCGGTCAGCGCAAGCGGTCCTCGACGTACAACAGTTCATGTAGTGGCTGTTCCAAGTCCCAGTGGCCCTGAAAAAGGGGCTTAGGACCAGCGTTGACGCCTACGGCCATTGCGGCCTCCCTGTGATCCAGCTCAGGGGCTTGGCACCTCCCCACTTCTGGCTTCCGCCCCCTCCAGGCAATGCCAGCCCCAGAGCCGCAGCAGTGCCAGCCGAGCGCATCGTGCCCATCGTCCAGACGCCGAGCGAAGTGGAGCCCGAGCTAGAGAGCCTCTTGCCAGGCAGCGAGCCGGCCGAGGTGGAAGACCTGGCCCGGCCCCTCAGCCCCACCCGGCTGCAGCCGGTCCTGCCACCGGAGGCCCAGAAGGTGCCCGAGTTCGAGGAAGTGGCCCGGGTGCTGGCAGAGATGCCTCGGCCCCTGAAGCGCCGCGGCTCCATGGAGCAGAACCCCCGTCCAGCCCTGCTGCCCCCGCACAAGAAGCAGTACCAGCAGATCATCAGCCGCCTGTTCCACCACCAGCAGCCCCGCAAGGAGGCAGCTGCGCCCGTGGGGGACCCCCCCTCCCAGCCGGACCTCTCGCCCATCACCGAGGCCACGGAGCAAAAGGGGGCCCCGGCCATCCCAACCGCCAGCCCTGCGAGGACCCCTCCGCCAGCCCCAGAGAGTCCGGCCACTCCCTCTCCCATGCCCAGCCCGGTAAGTGGAGAGTTTGGCAGCTGTTTTGCTCAGTTTCCCCCCCCCCCCCCCCAAAAGGAGGGACCAGCCGGAAGCCCCTTTGCAACCCTGGAGGCTCCTCCTCCTCCTCCTCCTCCTCGCTTGGGACTCTGGTGCCCGACTGGGGGGGCAGTGGCTCCACCTTCTGGCTGGCTGGACTGGGGGCCTCAAAAATGCTCCCCCTTGGGTTGCCCCCTGGTGATTCTGTGCAGCTCTGCGGCCCCTCCCCCTGGAAGGACCCAGGAGCCCCTGGCAGGAGGGCTGCTCACTTGGGCCGAGGAGGGGGCCTCTGATCCGGATCGTTCCTCCCTCCTCCGGGCTGCGGAAGGGGCTCCCAGGAGCCGGTAGCGGGGAAGGGGCCTTTGTGCGGAGGGGGGCTGGCCTTGATGGCACCCTGGGCTGCTCTGCAGGAGAAGCGCTCGGTGCTGCGCAAGGTCTCTTCCCCCCGGAAACGGACGACCAAGAAAGCGCGGCTCAACCCCCTGGTGCTGCTGCTGGATGCCGCCCTAACCGGCGAGCTGGAGGTGGTCAAGGAGGCGGTGAAGGAGGTGAGCGGGCGGCTGGCAGCCCTCGGGTGGGGCACCTTCCCTTGACCGAACGTGCTGCGGCTGCGGCTGTTAGGCCGAGCGGCTCTTGGTCTCCTCTCAAGGCGAAGGGCAGCTGTCCAAGGCAGGCCGGTCGCAGGAACTGCAACTCCCTGCAGCGTTGAGGCTCCAGCACTGGAAGAAAAGGGGCTCCTGGGAGGGAAGTTGCAGAGCTGGACTGACCGGTGGGGCCCTCGGGGCTCCCTGAGCTGGCGGCTTCCTCGCACCCAAACTAGGCAACATCATCAGTGCCAGAAGGGAGTGGGGTTTGCAGAGAGGAAGGGAAGGGAAGGGAAGAGGGGGGGAAAGGAAAAGAAGACTAAAGGGGGAGGGGGGCCCTGGGGGTTCTCTGAGCTTGGAGGTTGCCTTGCAGGCTCCTTTCACTAGCCGAGGAGGTCACCTCCCCACTGGCAAGCAGTCCGCCACACTCAAAGGGCACCAAGACCTCTGCAATGGAGGGGCGGGGGGGGGGGGGGGGGGGAGCGGGGGGGGGGGGGGGGGACAGGTACAACCAGACTGCTGGGTCTCTGGGTAAATCGGTTTGAGTGGGAGAGCTCCCCGCCTTTTCTTGCCACAGCTGAACGATCCCAGCCAGCCGAATGACGAGGGCATCACCGCCCTGCACAATGCCATCTGCGGCGCCAACTACAGCATTGTGGACTTCCTGATCAACATTGGGGCCAACGTCAATTCTCCTGACAGCCACGGTTGGTGAGTCTCCGGGATGGGCAGCAGGAAGGACAGCGGCCGCTGCGGTGCTTTCTGCCCGTGGGGAGAGGGTGCCCTGCGTGCCCGTTGCCCAAACACGAGGGGGGGGGGGCTTCCCTGAGCCGGCCTGCCTTCCTTCCAGGACCCCCCTGCACTGCGCAGCTTCTTGCAATGACACGGCCATCTGCATCGCGCTGGTGAAGCACGGGGCCGCCATCTTCGCCACCACCTTCAGCGACGGGAGCCTGGCCATCGAGAAGTGCGACCCATATCGAGAAGGCTACAACGAGTGCTTCAGCTACCTGGCAGGTGAGGGGGAGGAGGGCCGGCTGGCTGGGGCCCCAGAAAGGCAGGAAAGCCCTGGCAGCCCTTCGATTCTGCCCAGGGGCACCCAGAGGGCCCCGCTTGGCCGGCCTCCCTCATTTCTCGGGCGGCACCGACGTTTCTGGGCCAGTGAAGTGTGTGTGTGTGGGGGGGGGTGCTGCTTTCTCATTGGAGGGGGGGTTTCTCTTGCTGCAGACGTGGAGCAGAACATGGGGCTGATGAATAACGGGGTGATCTACGCCCTCTGGGACTACAGTGCCGAATTCAGCGACGAGCTCTCCTTCCGCGAGGGCGAGCCGGTCACTGTGCTGCGCCGGGATGGCCAGGAGGAGCTGGACTGGTGGTGGGCCTCTCTCTACGGCCAGGAGGGCTACGTGCCCAAGAATTACTTTGGGGTGAGTCTCGGGGACCGGGAGGTTTGCCCTGAGGGAGCCCGGGGGGGCACAGGCCGGGGGGCCGAGCAGCCGGGGTGTCCTGCTTTCCAGCCCTGGGGGGCTGCCGGCTTTCTCCCCTGAGCTGCTCAGCCTTGGTCTCTCCCTCCTTTTCCAGCTCTTCCCCAGAGTGAGGCCGCAGCAGCCGCAGCCGCAGCAGCAGAAGACGTAAGCGTCCATCGGAGAGACCGGGGGTGGGGGCTTTCCGCGCTTCGGCGGGCCACCCTCTGCTTTCAGAAGAGCGAAAACGAAGAGGGAAGGGCGGCACTCAGCCCTTCCACACGATCCCCCTCCTCCCACCGCCTTTCTTGCTTCTCTGTGTGAATCCCCCCCCCCGCCCCCCGCAACCCAAGAAGAGCTTTGGTGCCAAGGCAGCCATGCGCCCCTTCCCAGACAAAGGCTGGCCAGGGAAATTGGCGCAGTGCATCTGGGGCTTGGCTGCACTGGGGGGCTCGGCCTCCAGTTCTCCTCTGCCCCAGTTTTGCTGACTTTCCTCTGGAGCTGCCAGCACGGTTTGCCTTCGGGGAAGCTCCTGCCTCCCAGACTTCATCCTTGGGGCCACGGCAGTGCAGCCGCCGCCACACTCGCAGTCGGTGGGACTTCTTTTTTTACCTTCACCAACCTGCCCCTTTCCAGATGGGGCACCCCTGGGCTCTTTTTGCATCTGGAGAAAGCGTGAGCTGCCTCTGTGCAAGGACAGAGTGCAGAAGGGCGGGTGGGGGCTCTCCAGTGGTGGCAGCCACAGCCGCCCAGGAGCTGAACAGCAGAGTCATGGGCCCTGTGGTCTGGACGGAGGAAAGCGTTTGCTTTCTATGGGCGAGGCTCGACTCCAGAAGTTCCTTCCCAGAAATTCCCAAGACTTGCAGGGGTGACAAGTACCCCGTCCTTTTGGAACGAAGTAAGTGATCCCAAATTGTCACCTCCCTGCACAGCTCAAGGGATGCCAAGGCTGGGACTGCTCCCCAATGCATCTTGATTCAGAGTTAAGACTGCAGTGCAGGGGCCCCCTGAATACAGAACAGCCAGCTCTTCCCTCTCAGAGAAGCACACACCCCCTCCACACACACACACACACACACACCTTCCGTTTTGACAAATCATGCCTAAAGTTGAACCCCCTTGTGGACTTGATTCCCTGCAGTCACAGCTGATGTTCTGCCAGGGAGAAGAGAATGTCCTTCGCTGCTTAACTTGAGTAGCTCAAAGCTGAGAGGGAAGAAGGCGGGGAGGTGCCCCCTGCCAGCGGGGGGGGGACCCAGAGTGTCTGCCCTGCTGAGAGCCAAGAGAGGCCATGCAGCTGGGCAGCAGCTGGGCTCCTTCCTTGCTGCTCCTGCCCACAGGCTGATGTTCCAGCTGCGGCAAGTGAGCTTCACATGATGTGGGTGGTCCTTGTGCGCACTCTGAAGCTGGAATGATCATTGGGGTGGGTGGGTGGGAGGGAGGGAGGGAGCACGCTGCCCCTGCCCAGCGCCTTCTTTTTGCCCACCTGGGCAGAAGCTGCAACCTGCGTGCCAAAGCTTGGATTCTGTGCCTGCCTCTGCCAAGGCAGCGTGGGGCCTCCGTGAGAGCTTTGCCTGGCCAAGGGGCCTCTTCCTTTCACGCTGCGCCTTAATGTGGGCCGGGATGCCACGACGCCTCCCGAAGCTTCTGGGGTGCCTTTGGTTGGCGCCAGGGAGGCGATTTTGTGCCTTTAAGGGGGGGTGGGGCCTTTCAGGAATAGCTCTATGCAGGTTGGGGGTCTGTGGCCTGCAGGCCCCACATCTGAAGGCTGCTTCAGTTGAGGCTTGGCTAGTCCTAGATCCAGGGAGGGAGGAGCAGTCGCTGGGGAGCCCTTCCTGGGATTGTTGGTAGCCCTGGCTGGAAAATGTAGCATTCCATAATAAAATGGTCTAACTGGACAAAAGTGGTAGCTGTGTTCAATGCGGGGGGGGGGGGGCTCTGTGCAAGGAGGAAACATCTGGATGTGGGCTGGAATGCCACCCACCCACCGGACAATCTGCGTAAGGACTTCAGAGGTGGCCTTTCTTGGACCGCAAAGGTGCCCAACAGGCAAGCACCGGAGCACATGACGCCAGACATGTCACTAAGCAGGCGAAATCACATCCCACTTGCTTTGGCCACGTCTTGCAGAGGAATTCAATGGAGAAAGCATTTGTGTTGGGAAGAGTTAGCAACAAAAGGAAGTGTGGCTGCCAAGGAAGACGGTGGTTGGAGACCGTCAAAGCTGGCACGAGCCAGAGCAGAGATCGGAAGGTGTGGAGAGACCTGGACCACAGAATCGCCAAGAGTCGGTCGCAACTGACTGGGGAGCATCCTTGCTGTATGTGAGCACAAGAGGTTGCCCAAAACATGCAACTGCACCTCTTGATGGGGTAAAAATCACTTTTGATTTGAAAGGCCAGGCTGACATTATGCAGATTCCATGATGATCTGGGTGACTTTGATTCAAAACGGCCCTGCCCCAATAATGCTGGGCTTCTCTGGGAACGGGATGCCAGGAGTCCCGTCCCCCCACAGCAGCCTCAGCCCTTGGCATCTCCCTGCCTTCCCTTGCAAAGAGCAAAATGCCCCCAGCAGGGTGTGGAAAGGCCTGCTGGACCAAGGGGTCTCAATGAGGTCACTTCGTGAGCTGGCTGGTCAGTTTGGGATTCAACGGCAGAAACGTCAGACAGCAGTTACACGCTGCTTCTGTTAGCCAAAGTTTACAGCAACTGTAGCCTTGTTTTCTCCTTGGATCATTTTTTTCCCTTGTAATAAAACTGCATTTGATTTGGAATAAACCTAGGAACAGTCCTAGATGATTTACAGCAAATGGATCACTTCTACAGGAAACCTCGGGTTGGGTTGCTGGCTAAGGAACTGGGGTGGGGGTGGGGGAGCTTTGGGGGTTGCATCTAAATGATGATGTAATTAAGGAAGGCAATTCAACAGGTGAAGAACGCAGGAGGAACTGCAACCACTTTCCTCCCGCAGCCTCTCGGTCCCAGGAGCGCAAAGCAAGATTCCAGCCTAGTAGGGCAAGCTGATGAATCCACGACCTCTGAGTTCGGCTTCTTCAGCCTAAATGCCAGGCACGCCGTACGGTCATCTCTTGAGCGGCTCGTGATGCCTGCGCGCGCTGCGCAGCCGAACGCGGGGCAGGAAGTCTGATAGCGGGCGGAGGCGGGCTCTTTTCAGATCAGCCACTGAGGCCGCCGCCGGGGGTGTGGTGAGCCAATGGGATCGAGAGCGATAGAAAGAGCGGAGAGGCGACCGAAGGAACAGTGTTCCTTTGAGAGGACCGGAGTGAGAACTTCTCAGCAGCGGCCCGCGCCGCGGACGAAACCATGAAGTGAGCGGCGCGGGGGGAGGAGGAGGGCGTCTGGGAGACACCACTCGCGCGGGGGTCGCCGGAGGGTCTGCCGGGCGTTTGCGCTCTGCGGGCCGGGGAGGACGGGAGGCGGGGAGGGGGCCGGCCGGGGCGCCGGGGGCGGTGGGCCCGGGGACGCTCGGCCACTCGCTCCCTCTGCGCAGGCTGAACATCGACGGGCTGCTGGTGCTCTTCCCGCACGACTACATCTACCCCGAGCAGTTCTCCTACATGCTGGAGCTGAAGCGGACGCTGGACGCCAAGGTGGGCCGGGGGAGGGCGGGGGGGGGGTTGGGGCAGGACTGGAACTCAGGTCCCGCCTCCGCGCCCCGGGCCCCCGCCGGCCCCTGACGGCCCCCCTCGCCCCCGCAGGGCCACGGGGTGCTGGAGATGCCCTCGGGCACCGGGAAGACCATCTCCCTCCTGGCGCTCATCCTGGCCTACCAGCGCGTGAGTATCCGGGGGCCGAGCCCCCACCCCACCCCCCGCAGCCCCTTTCCCGACTCTGCCTGCTTTTCCTCCAGGAGCCCCTCGCCCCCCCCCAAGCGTAGCCCTCTAAGCCCGCCCTCTCCCCCAGGCTTACCCGCTGGAGGTGACCAAGCTCATCTACTGCTCCAGGACCGTCCCGGAGATTGAGAAGGTACGGGGGGGGGGGGGGGGGGGGGTGGGGGGGGGACGGCCCCGGGGGGGGGGGCGGGGGAGGGGGGGGGGGGCGTCTGGGAGCCCCTCCATTGCCAGCCGCTGGGCTTCTCCCCCCTCCAGGTGATTGAGGAGCTGCGGAAGCTGGTGCACTTCCACGAGAAGCAGACGGGGCAGAAGCTGCCCTTCTTGGGCTTGGCCCTCAGCTCCAGGAAGAACCTGTGCATCCACCCCGAGGTGCCCCTGCTGGCGGAAGGGCGGGGAGGGCTGTTCGGGGGGGGAGGCCCTCGGCCACCCGTCCTTCAGCCAGCCACCCTGTGCGGCAGGAGCAAGCCTGGCCCGCTCTCTTACCTGCTAAGAGTTCCCGGGCCACTTGGGGCCCCGGCCCCTGAATTCCCTGGGAGGCAGGGAAGCCGGGCGATGTGGGCCCCGTGCCCCCCCTTCTCAGACCCCTCCCTTCTTGTCCTAGGTGAGCAGCCTGCGCTTCGGGAAGGAGGTGGACAGCAAGTGCTTCAGCCTGACCGCCTCGTACATCCGGGCTCAGCACCAGCAGGATGGCAGTCTTCCCTCTTGCCGCTTCTTTGAGGTAAGGCCGAAGGGCACAGGGACAAAGGCGGGATTCAGCAGGGTCTGGCCTGTTCTGGAGAACCGGCAGTAGAAATTTTGAGTGGTTCGGAGATCTGGTAAATACCACCTTTTGACTGGAGATTTTTGCAGTATCCATCCCCTGCCACGCCCACAGAACTGGTAGTAAAAAAAAAAATTGAATCCACCCACTGGTGGGGGGGCAGGCAGTGGAAGGTCCCGGGGAGGAGGGCCGGGTGGGGCCGTGGACCTTCTCCCCTGGGGCGCAAGAGGCCAGATTGAAAAGTGAGGTGGACCAATGCTGCCCCTCTCTTTTCCCCATTGATCTCTGTCATTCAGGGGGGGAAATTGCAGGAAACTCTGCATGAAAGTTACACAAATGTCCAGAGGCATTTTCCCCCTCAAAGTATGTTTGGTGGGAGAAATGCCTTTTGAGAAATTGAGCAGCCAAAAACCATTTTGGCTTGTCCGTAAGGCCGGGGCCAGGAGACCCGTTCAGCCCTGCTGTGATTCCCTGCAGGAATTCGATGCCAACGGTCGCCAGGTGCCTCTTCCTTACGGCGTCTATAACTTGGATGACCTGAAGGCCTACGGTCAGCAGAAGGGCTGGTGCCCCTACTTCCTTGCCCGCTACTCGGTAAGAGAGGTGGCCGGCCGGCTTGAGGACACGAGCCCCCTCCCCTCTTTCCAGGGCAAAAGGGGTCTCCTTGAAGGGTCCTGGGCGCCCTCTGAGCTTGGTTGTTTCCTTGCAGGCGTTTCATTACACAAACCAGGTAACGCCATCCATGCTAGTAAGGAGAAGGGTTGGCTCTCCGTGTGTTTGTAGGGGTCTCTTGGTTAGATCAGCTCTGGGGGGGGAAGGACCCTGAGGTGCCAAAGGAGAAAGCGGCTGCGGCGGCTGCGGCGGCTGCTGCTTGTTACTGCAAACATTGCAGTGGAGCTAGTGGGTGCATGGTAAGAGCTGCACAGCGACCGAGTGAGGTTGGTCCTACGGGGGCCTTGAGCCTCCCACGGCAGTTCTGTCAGGAGGAGATTCAGCGCCCTGAACGCCAGTTTCTCATCCCGCTTTTCTCTGAGCGTTTGAGCCCAGAACCCAAATCGCCTGTCAATCTCCCAAGGCGACGGTTTCATTCTGAAGTTTCCCTCCGTCATCAGAAAGTCTGCCTGGGTAGCTTTGCAGTGAAGGGAAATAAGTGCGTTTTAATCCATTTGGTAGTTAAGCGTATAGGTAGTCCTTGACTCACAGCGATTTGTTTAGTGGTCACTAAAGTTACAATTGCACTGAAAAGTGACTTATGTCCCATTTTCACACTTAACGACCGTAGCAGCATCCGCCTGGCCACGTGATCAGAATTGGTAAGCGACTCGTATTTAGGACGGTTGTAGTGTCCCGGGATCACGTCATCCACTCTTGTGACTTTCTGACAAGCAAGGGGAAGTCAGATTCATTTCACAATTATTGTGTTACTTAGCAACCGCAGTTATTCACTTAAAAACTCTGGCAAGAAAGGTTGCAAAAATGGGGCAAAATTCACAACTGTGTCGCTTAGCAAACAGAAATGTTGGGCCGAATTGTGGTTGCAAGTCAAGGACTCCCCTGTCTTAGCTCATGAATAGAACTGGGGCTGGTCCTTTTGTCCTTCCCTCGAGAGTGGAGACGCCTCAGTACAGAAACCGACCCCAGAAGTCTTTCTGTTGGCTGCCCTCCGACTCGCCTTGCGGGTTCCGGGGTTCCTCCTGGCCCAAGGCCAAGCTCTGCTCCGCTTTCTCTCCCCGTCTGCACCAGATCCTCCACGCCAACATCGTGGTCTACAGTTACCACTATCTCCTCGATCCCAAAATTGCGGACGTGGTCTCCAAGGAGCTGGCCAAGAAATCGGTGGTGGTTTTCGATGAGGCTCATAACATCGGTAGGTGTGAGAAGGGCCGGTGAGCGGTCTGGTGCAGGGCTCGAATTGGGCCGCCTGAAAACTACGCTGGGGTCCAGTTTCTCCCTCTAGAGAAGAGTCGCTCGACTTTTCCCACTGTGAGGCTTGTGGACTCCAAGTCCCAGAATCCCCTGCCAGAAACCCTGCTTGAGAGATTAACTCGGCTTAATTTGGGTGGACGAGAACTCAGCCAAGCGGCCTGGAAGGAACCCAGACTCGGGGTTTTTTTAGTTGCAACTTTATCCTTAGTTGATGATAATTTTTGTTCTCCTCTTAAGTACAGGTAGTCCTCGACTTATGACCACAATTGAGCCCAAATTTCTGTGCTAAGTGAGACAGTTGAATTTGGCCCCATTTTTGACACCCCCCACCCCATTGTGAAGTGAATCACTGCAGTCGTTGACTTAGTCACCTGGTCATTAAGTGAATCTGGCTTCCCCATTGACTGTTTGTCAGAAGGACGCAAAAGGAGATTATGTGACCCCAGGACCCTACGACCGTCATAAATATGAATCGGCTAGGCATCCAAATCTTGATCCTCTGGCCAGGGAGAGGCTGCAACGGTGCTAAGTGTGAAAAATGGTCGGTCATAAGTTACTCTTTGCAGTGACGTTATAACTTTGAATGGTCACTCAGTGAACTGTTGTAAGCCGAGGACTGCCTGTACTGTAGAGTCCCCCGGGTTAAAACCTACACCTGTCGGCATGTCGCCCTGAGCCTCCTCCAGGTAAGCGATGGAGGTTCGCTTTCGTGGGCCTCTTTGACAGCCCTGTTGCCCCCCCCCCTTCCTTCCCCCCCCTTGGCCCACAGACAACGTCTGCATCGACTCCATGGGGGTCAACATCACCCGGAAGGTCCTGGATCGCTGCCAGGGGAACGTGGCCACGCTCCAGGCCGCCATTCACAGGTGAGCAGGATCCGCCCCCTCCGCTTCCTGGCCTCCTGCTCTGCCCAGAGGACGGAGTCCTGTGCCGCTTGCAGGCACGGCATCTGTGGGTGCGGGGCCCGGGGTTGGGAGGGACCCTGGAGGTCTTCTAGTCCAACCCCCTGGACCGAAAGAGGCTGCCCGGGCTCTCTTAAAAGCCTCCAGGGTCGGAGCTCCCACCCCTCACGGTCCCCACGGCCCCCTTTCCAGGATCAAGGAAACCGACGCCCAGAAGCTGAAGGAGGAATATCAGCAGCTGCTGCAGGGGTTGCGGGAGGCCAACGTCGCCCGGGAAACAGACGTCTATTTGGCCAACCCGGTGCTGCCGGACGAGATCCTGCAGGGTAGGTCGGCCCCTCTGTGGACAGCAGGGGGGGGCGGGCGGGGGGGGAGCTGATGCTTAGGTGCTGGTGGGGCAGGGGGGGAACGCCGGTGGCTGCTGCGCCATCCCGGCCCTTCGGCACCGGCTGCTCCTGCTGAGGGAGGTGGCCGTGTGGCCTTGGAGCCGCTGCCCTGACTGGTCCTCCCCTCACGCAGAGGCCGTGCCGGGCAACATCCGGACAGCGGAGCACTTTGTGGCCTTCCTGAAGCGCCTCCTGGAGTACCTGAAGTCCCGGCTGCGCATCCACCACGTGGTCCAGGAGAGCCCCCCGTCCTTCCTGAAGGACATCTTTGAGAAGGTCTGCATTGAGCGGAAGCCCCTCCGGTGAGTGCGGGCAGGAGAGGCCCTTCCCCTCCTCCCTTCCCCCTCCCCCTCCCTCCCGGCCCCTCCTGCTAAACCCGGGCCCCCTTGCTTGGGGGGGGGGGGGGGGAAGAGCCTGTTCCAGGCCGGCCTCGTGTCAGCCCCGATTCCTGGGTTTTGGCAGGTTCTGTGCCGAGCGGCTGCGCTGCCTCCTGCGCACGCTGGAGATCGCGGACATCTCCGACTTCTCACCCATCACCCTCATCTCCAACTTCGCCACCTTGGTCAGCACTTACTCCAAGGGTAGGGAGGCTCTTCAGCCAGCCGGCCGGCCTCTCGGGGGCCTCCCAGCCCTTGCGGTTCCTCCCCCCCCACATCCCTCCCTCGGGGTTGGCAGGTGGGACCTGGGGGGGGGCCCGGAAGGCGCCCAAGAGCCTTGCAGGCTCTGCTCTCGGGAGGCCAGCCGAGGGCGGCAGCCCTCTTTGCCGAAGGAAAACCTCCGCGGCTCCTGCGCCTGCCGGCTTGGACGGGCTTTGGGAGTCTTTGGGAGTCAGCACAGCTACGTCCCAAACAGAGGCGCTTTCGCAAAGGGCATCGGGCCGGCCTCGGTTCTGTTCCGGGGGAGGAAGAAGCAGCTTCCAAATGAAGAGATACGAACTGAAGGAGCTCCGTGGACGAGAAGGGAAACGTTTTCAAAGGAAGAGGACAAGAAAGTCCAGCGGCCTTTTGCGAAAGCGCCTTTGGGGCAGCCAGAGGCCCCCCGAGACAGGCTCAAAGGCGGGGGGGCGGGGGGGCATGCTCGGATCTTCAGAAAGCCCTTGACGAGGCTCTGAGCTCCCCAGGCTGGCCGAGGCCGGCCTTCCCCGATCCCACCGGGCAGCCAGCCAAGCCATGAGGGGGGGGGGTCCACGCCCCCCTCCCCCCCCCC